GACAAGTTCCACAATGTGCAAATTATCTGACATAAATTTGTATTTAAAAATTAAAAAATCAAATGATTTTGACCCACTGTCCAYCAACTATGGTAGATCTAATATGATGACTGTCAACGCCCATCAAATTAAAGCAATTTAGAACCAGGTATCTACGAGACACGTTAGACAAAATGTGTTATGTATGAAAAAATGAAATGTTTATTTTATAACATTCTCTCGTTATATTATTATTAAAACAAATTCATCGTTAACATTAATTATAGTATATTGAAGAATAAAATGCTTTTTATAGCAATTACGAGTATATAAGGCGCATGCCGAAAAATCATTKTTTGTTCCAAACAAGTGTATCCATCTTAGTATATAAATGTCAGTCAAATTTAACTTGTTTATCCTTCGAATTCCTCTTTGTATTTTTTAAAATGTATTTTTTTTTTAAATTTAATTTTTATGTTATTTCCTTCCTATAAATCTTAATTTCTACTCTGAAATATTAAAAAAAAAAAAACCATTTATACTTAAATTATATTTAACAACTTATTCTTTTGTATAAATATATTTATTTAATTCGACGTTATTTATGTTTATAGCCCATGSAATAAACTTTTTGCATATTCTATGTATTTATTAGTTATTCAGTTTTATGCTTATTTAATTGCCATYCTTTTTAATATATTACCTATAATATCACACATTATTATCACATAATTAAAAAATAACTTTTTATTAAGATAAAATGATGATATTAAACATTATTTAGCCAATATCAAGCTTGATATGCGTTGCAAATAACAGAGATTTCAGAGTTTATTGAACAAGAATTACTTTGATGCCAGTATATTAATTTAAAATAATTAAATAAGTTAAATACGTTTGAGCAGGGAGTTTGGAAAACTATTCAAAAAAGCTAAKAAATTGCATTTAAATATTCTTTTTTAATTATAACAGACCTACAATGTTTTATAGATTTTACTATAAAATAATACATCGATTGTATACATAATTAATATAAAATATTTAAATAAATTATAATCATAATATGCATAGCTAATATAATATAACCTACATAATATAGGTTATTTGAATATTTTTTCGGCAATAATATTCAACTATTATTTTTTATACTATA